GACAAAACAGATGAATACACAAGGATTATTTTAGGACCAAAATGTATTCATATGCAATTATGAGAGGTTGAGAATCAAGATTATCTTATGATTTTTAAAATTGAAATATTTGAACAACAAAAATATAAATTAACATGCTGCTAGTATTTCATAATACTTGCAAAATCCCAAGTCCTTGTACAGTGTATGTCAAAGAAATGAAAAGCCAAAATGAAAAGGTCAAGTACGTGTACATGTATTCAAGGAATATACATGTAGTTTTTGGCTTTTTGCACAATATTCAATTTGCAAACGAAATTAAGTCAAAAGATGTTTTCCAATGCAAACAGCCCCCTGACTGTCATTTCCCCCTAATTTTGATTACAACAATTCAACACAAATCCCAAATCACTTAAATTTTAAATATCATCCCATGATCCTAACACATTCATCAAAGATACTATCGTGAGCGACAGCTACGAAGGTTATCACAATTTCTTTTCTACTCCCGAATATCTAACCACAAATCGGCATGTATGTTTGTGAGTGAAATATGAATAATAGAAGAATTTGTACAAGCAGGAATAGGGAAGCTAAGCCTTTCAAAGGAATTAATGAAGCTCAAACGCATGATGACTTCCACCCAGACAGTCTAAATAACGAACAGTCACTTTGAATTAGGCCGCAACTTGCACAGAGAAAAACAACACAAATGCGCAAGTGCATGCAAGCGGCATGACCCCCCTTTGTGTCCCGGGCCGAAGAGCCCAAATTTTTTTCCTCTTACAAATTAGAGGCCTGCACAACGGGACCTCCAGCTCGTGCAATCACGGAGATAAGATCTCGGTACACGATGCGCCCCGGGGTGCGAATCCAACGGAATGCGTTGAACGACAAGCAGCTTGTTCTACTCTACTACCGTCCTGTGAAGACTTGTTTAGCCTAGTTGCAAAGTTTTAAAATTCTAAATGTATTCCTCCTTATATCCTATAGATTGTTACGTAAAGTCCTGCTCAAAAGGTGACAATTATGGTGAGAAAAATAGAGGGAAGGCCTACATTTAATCCTGTCATGGTAACTCACTAATTGAATAGGGAAAATAATACAAATAATTTTTTTTTAAAGGGAAAATAAATGCTTTTTTTTTTAAAACTAATGATTAAAATGTATGTTTGTTGTAAAGTGCTTTGAGAATCAATATTGTGCTGAATTGTGCTAGATACACTAAACACCATATTATTAACATTATTATCATTTTTTAAATGTATTGAACAATAATTGTTATCTTCAATCAGAGCACAATGAAGCATACAGTACATGTAGGCTATTCACCTTTTGATGAACCGTGGGTCTTCTATGGCAACCCACTAGTAAGATGGGGTGGAATTAGAGGACGGGGTAGACAATGATATTCTCTTTGTTTAAATCCACCCTAATTAATATGTGAGTCATGGAAAATTAAAACACACTCTCTTACTTTGAATCTTAAAATTCAAGAAGTTACGCTATAGTCTGCTCCTTTAACCTACGTACTGTAGGTGCAGAGATCCTCACTCACTGTTTTTACGTTGGGTCCAGTCTGATTATAATGGATGACTATCATGGAGGGAATAAGAAACATGCAAGTCTGTTGCACTTGCAATTACTTCCCAAGCAAAGAGACGGGAGAAATCCACATGTATGTGCACAATTAATTCTTTTGCAATTCACTCAAACCACACAACCCTAAGTATCGCATGTGTGTGTTGTTTGAATAGCACCTTTAAATCTGAGCCTGCCTGCCTGAAGCAAAATTTTAATAAAGCGTTCCCTTGCACTGATTTGACGGGCAACCAACAATAAAGTTGTGTTTGTATTTACGGCCATGAATGGAAGCATTTGGCAAAATTCAATTGCAGTATTCATGTCCATTTTTCATGTGGCCAAAGAAAGAAAGCAATAAACTATTAGGAATAATAGATTGCATTTATGCCTGTCCCTGAGTTCCAGTGAGCTCAAGGCTTGGTGGACAAGAAGGGATTCAAATGTAGTGGAGGCAACCATAATGAAGTTGTGATTACACTAGACGCACGTGTGATTGCATGACTTGATTAATGGTATATTTTGTACCCTCCTATAAATAACTCACATTATTAAAGAGTACATTGCATTTATACTCAGTGTTGGAACAGAGGCATCAATAGCACTTACCCTATGGTACAGTCCTGTACTATGAATACCTTCTACCGGTAATTGTAATGTTCAAAATAAATATATGCAGATGTCCACACCAAATCCTAGAATGAAAGCATTCATATAAACTTGTTGCTGAATATCTGAATTAAAGGTATTTAACAAAATATAAAAATGTCTTGTATCATCCAATTACCCCAGACTAAAACATTTTTAACCAGTTACATTTACCGTACATGAAATGGAAAGGGGTCTATTGACTCTATTCCCATTACATATCAAAGCTCTAGGTCTAAAGCATTTTTTAAAAGAATGCTTACTAGAAATTTATAGTTAAGTAGTGCTATTTTGCTTCTCTCTCTCTCTCACTTTCTGTCTCTCCATCTTTTATTCCATTTGCTTTGTATCTTGTACACGTATCTCTCTCCCATCTCTGTTTCTCTCTCCATTCCACTGCACTTGATCCCTCCCTCCCTCCCTAACATCCCCATCTCTATCTACCCATGTATCTAGTCTCTATCTCTTTTTCTCTTTGCTTCTTTCTCTTATTCATCACCCTTCCTCTTATACCTTATTCCATCACTATTTTTTTGTTTCTTCTCCGAGTCGACACCCTACAAATTGTGTATGTCAGGTTCTGTTGTTCCCTCCCTCCCTCGCACCCTCACTCTCCCTTTAAATCCCTCTTCAGTTTCTCTTTCTCTCCCTTATCTCTCTCCTTCTCTCCATCATCTTTTATGATTCTTACTCCATCACAGTTTTCTTGTTTCTTTCCTCAGACAGCATCCTTATGTGTCTGGTATTGTTCTTCCCTCCCTTGCACTCTCACTCTCCTTTCAAACCTCTCTTCATCTCCCCCTTCTCTCCATCACCTTTCATCTTATTCCCACCACCGTTTTCTTGGTTCTTCTCCCCGGCACCCTTGGTTTGGCTCTTCCCTCCCTCCCTCCCTCCCTCCCTCCCTCTCTCTTCCTCTGAGTCCTTCATCTCCCTTCTTCTCTGTATTTTTCTCCTGCTCTCCATCACCTTTCATCTATTCAGTCCATTTTTCTTCTTTTTTCTCCCCAGTCGACACCCTATGTGTCTGGTTCTGTTGTTGTTTTAACAAATGTCATGTGTAAGGGCATCTCGTTGGGGACTCCCCAGGCCGTAATTGAATTTGTCAATGATCTAGGGACTTTACGGGCATGGATCTATGAATTATGATGCAAACTCAGCAACTCATATACAATGTAGCTTGCACGCTTGTGATCTTCAATTAAAATGGTTAGTTATACAGTCCAATTATACATACAGTAGTATTGTGGCATTATCTATTTTAATGTTTTCTTATACACTTAATCAAGCTCTGTTTGATGTATAGCTATGTGAAAATGAAAAAAGTAGCATACTGTATGAAATTTGTTTTTCATATTACTTGTAAAAGGAGTAGGTTTTTTTTTATCTTGAAAGAACTTCTGCAATTTCTCCTTCTTAAAAATCTTGAACATAAAACAACAATATTGAAAAATCCCTGCAAGAATTAAAATCTCAACATTTAAAACTGTCTGAAAAAATAAGCATTTTGGCTTCATCAGTTTTTGTCAAGGCAGGAAATATTACTTCCCAAAGGGCAACAACTACCTGCATTGCCATTAAAATCAGAATACTATGCTTGCTTTAGACAAAGTATATTGCATGAATGAAGATGATCATCATTATGATAATGGTGATGAAGATGACGAGGATGAAGATGAGAAGAGTGATCAAAGAATGGAGATGATGAAAATAATTCAATTCAATTATGATAATAGGAGGAATTATATGATGAAAAAAATGAAGACAATGTGAAAATACCATAGAAGATGATAATTTATTATGACGATGATGACGATGACGACGATGATGATGATGATGATGATGACGATGATGTTGATGATGATGATGATGATGATGATGATGATGATGATGAAGATGATGATGATGATGATGATGATGATGAAGATGTAGATGAAGATGAAGATGATGATGATGATGATGATGAAGATGATGATGATGATGATGATGACGATGATGATGACGATGATGACGATGATGATGACGATGATGATGATGGTGATGGTGAAAATGTTGGTGGTGTTGATGTTGATGTTGATGTTGATGATGATGATGATGGGGATGATGGTGATTATGATGGTGGGATGATGGTGATGAGAATGGTGATGATGGTGAGGATGATCGATGATGAACAAGATTATGAATATGATGGTGATGATAGATCGATATGAAAAATGCATATGTTACCAAAGTCAAATTATATGGAACAAAATGCACAGAGAACATGATAACACTATTATGACTTCTGTTTGAATGAGGCTCAGAAATATCATTGTCAATTATAGAATATTTCGGAAACTCCCAGTCCCATCACATTTCACCCAACTCCACTCAACAAAGCACGAGTCAAACTCACGGGAACTGTCGGAGAGGTATGCCTCAACTCACCCGTTAACAATAGCCAGCGTCCCGTACTTGCGAAGTAAATATTCCTTCTCGTTCTGTGTCAATGCCATAGGACACCAGAATAAATGACTTTTCTTCAACAATTAAGGAGTCTATTAGGTACACAATAAGCTTAGCCGGAAGGATTATATACTTACCAGTAAATAAGTGAACGCCTCCTGTTCCAAAGGCAAAGCAAAAGAAGTAATTCAACCGATACTAGAGTTGTAACCACATTAAACAAAAGTTACCACCAAAAATGTTTTGAATGAAGACTCATTTTCAAGGACCACTCAAACAACACACATCTTTACTCCCCACTCTCGCCGTAAAAAGGCCCTTTTGTTATGCGATTTACAGTAGCTTACCCAAATCTTTGCTCACTGCTAATTGAAAAGATCTTGTTCAACCTAGCGACGAAAAGTACACTCTGTGATATTCCACTTGACAGTACAATAGTAATGAATCCAGATTTGGTAGAAAACCAAAATAATGTGTACTCAGTACACAGCGGAGATCAGACGACAGACGACCACCAGAGACCGAAAAAATGCTACCCTTTTCAGTTCCCTCCAATCTCTCTAGCTCTCGATTGCCGGTTGATTACTTGCAGGTTTGTTCCATTACTGGTGCATATGTATACACTCATCACGTGCGTGGAGTATTTTGTGTACATAGCTTGCCGTCCCAGCATTATATGAATATTCATAACTCACTTTTACTAACAAACAACCAATGGCGACAGTTGAATTTTCGGAGATCAGGCGCATGGTGTATCTGAGTTCCTCTTAATGAATATGCATGAATCCTTTAATTAGATCAGTTGTACTCCAGGCATGAATCAATTTGCCAGGCACGCTATCCAAATACGATTGATTCCGAATTTATTTTCTTAATCAAAATTCTACAATTTCTCGGCACAATATTGCCCCGTGGCCAAATACGTATCAAAGGAGTATGTTTTGTGATATACATGTTTATCAATAGACGGAACTCATCTTCTTTTTGGTTTTGTCTCTCCATAATTATTTTTGATCGAGTAATGTTTCCCTAGTTACACCTGTTTCTACATTCATGATCACCTTTTTGCATTTGCATTTTTGCAATTGCAAAGAATTATTCAATTTTCTTTTTTTCATTTTGCTTTTAGTCTACCTCCTACTATTTTGTAGTCACCTTTATCGCCAATTTCATTATTGTACAATACAAATGCCATATCACTCTTCTTTTTATCTCTTGTAATTTTTTGAGCACCTTAATCTCCAAGCTTTTTCTTCTGTCTTGATCTCTCCTTTTCTCTGAATCTCTCGTCTTTCAGTCCCACTCCTCTCCTCCCCCTCCTCTCTCTCTCTCTCTCTCTCTCTCTCTATCTCTCTATCTCTCTCCATATCTCTCTCTCTCTATCTCTCTCTCCATATCTCTCTCTCTCTATCTCTCTCCATATCTCTCTCTCTCTCTCTCTCTATCTCTCTATCTCTCTCCATATCTCTCTCTCTCTTCCCCCTTTCTCTCCTTTTCTTCCCACTTGACTTCCCCAATTGCAACTCTCTCTCCCTCCCTGTCTCCCTTCCTCCTCCCACCCCCTCTCTCTTTTGATCTCTCCTTTTCTCTGAATCTCTCGTCTTTCAGTCCCACTCCTCTCCTCCCCCTCCTCTCTCTCTCTCTCTCTCTCTCTCTCTCTCCATATCTCTATCTCTCTCCATAATCTCTCTCTCTCTCTTTCTCTATCTCTCTATCTCTCTCCATATCTCTCTCTCTCTCTCTCTCTTCCCCCTTTCTCTCCTTTCCTTCCCCCCCCCTTTCATCCCACTTGACTTCCCCAATTGCAACTCTCTCCCTCCCTGTCTCCCTGTCTCCCTCCCTCCTCCCACCCCCCTCTCTCTTTTGATCTCTCCTTTTCTCTGAATCTCTCGTCTTTCAGTCCCACTCCTCTCCTCCCCCTCCTCTCTCCCCCTCCTCTCTCTCTCTCTCTCTCTCTATATATCTCTATCTCTCTCTATCTCTCTCTCTTCCCACTTTCTCTCCTTTTCTCCCCCCCCCCCCCCCCCCTTTCATCCCACTTGACTTCCCCAATTGCATCTCTCTCCCTCCCATACTTTCTCGAACCCCTCCTCCCAATCTCTATCTTTAACTTTATATTTATTCCTTCTACCCTCTCCCTCCCTGTCTCCCTTCCTCCTCCTCCCACTCCCTATCTCTCTCTCTCTCTCTCTCTCCCCTCCCCCTCTCTCTCTCAACGTTATTTCTCTCCTACCCCTCCTCCCCATCCTCCCCTCCTTCCCCTCCTCCCCCTCCTCCCCCTCTCTGCATCTCTCCTTCCATGCCCTCCTACCACCATCATTCATATTCCATCCTATATTCCTAGCTTCTTATTCATATTTGCGGATTGTATTAACGAATGGTTGGGGCGAAGGACATCTAACACAATAGTTTACGATGTAGTTACATTTTCGGTAAATCTTATAAGCTCATGCAGTCCTGTGCATTAAATTCAATCAGATTCGGTCAGCATCATATTTCAATGAAGACGCACAAAAGACATGACTGTCACTATATTTACAGACTTAAGTGCGTAGAGGTTCGGAGAGTATTATTTATTTCAATAATATTTAGTAAATAAAAAATAACAGAGGTAGTAATAGTAATAGTAGTAGTAGTAGTAGTAGTAATAGAAGTTGTAATAGTAGTAGTAGTAGTAGTAGTAGTAGTAGTAGTAGTAGTAGTATTATCGGTACCAGAAGCATTATAGTTACAATCGCCATAATACTTAATAGTATTTTGTGGCGGTGGTACTACTAATCCTAGTAGAAGTAGTAGTAGTCAGGCGCGCCGGAAGCAGTTTGGGATTGGGGGGGCAAACATTCCAGGGGGCTCACTTTCCAGGGGCAGTGACGTAATGAGAAAAAAATTCGGAAGGGGGGGGGGGCAGACGAAAAATCTGCATCACCACCAGTCTTACACGTTATATGCAGGTCCCGCGGAACGTTTTTCAAAGTGGAGTATTATCGATCAGGTAGAGCGTAAATTGGCGTGGGGTCCAGGGCATGAGCCTCGGCAGGGGGTCAAGGGGCTGAGCCCCCGGAAGCTCAGGGGTTTTAGGTATTTAATTACGGTTAGATGAGCATCCAGGGGCCGTCTTAGGGCCCTTGGTGTGGTCCAGGGGGCAGAGCGCCCGGAAGCTCAGGGGTTTTAGGTATTTAATTACGGTCAGATGAGCATCCAGGGGCCCGCCTTAGGGCCCTTGGTGGGGTCCAGGGGCAGAGCCCCCGGAAGCTCAGGGGTTTTAGGTATTTAATAACGGTCAGATGAGCATCCAGGGGCCCGCCTTAGGGCCCTTGGTGAGGTCCAGGGGGCAGAGCCCCCGGAAGCTCAGGGGTTTTAGGTATTTCATTAAGGTCAGATAAGCATCCAGGGGGCCGCCTTAGGGCCCTTGGTGGGGTCCAGGGGGCAAAGCCCCGGAAGTTCAGGGGTTTGAGGTACTTAATAACGGTCAGATGAGCATCCAGGGGCCCGCCTTAGGGCCCTTGGTGGGGTTCCAGGGGGCAGAGCTTCCGGAAGCTCAGGGGTTTTAGGTATTTAATTACGGTCAGATGAGCATCCAGGAGCCCGCCTTAGGGCCCTTGGTGGGGTCCAGGGGGCAGAGCCCCTGGAAGCTCGCGGGTTATAGGTATTTAATTACGGTCAAATGAGCATCCAGGGGCCCGCCTTAGGTCCCTTGGTGGGGTCCGGGGGTGGAGCCCCCGTAAGCTCTGGGGTTTTAAGCATTTAATTACGGTCAGATGAGCATTTTTTATACCTTATTTGTGACATTGGCAGGTCACTTATTTTTCTCTCCGTCTTTCTTTCTTTTTCTCTTTAACATACTTTAAAAAAAAAGGAGGGGTGGGGGGGGGGGGGCTCGAGCCCAGCCACTTTGCAGACCATGACATAAAGGCTTCTAAATAAGCGTATTTCGCCTGACTGTAATGTGGGAATTTCTTATTTTCCAACAAACGCATAAAAAGGTATGACTTACAAAAAAAATGGAGAAAAAATGCCGGAAAATCATGTCACAACATCAACATTTGTAAATCACTTGTTTCGAATAAGAAATACATAACCCCACCCCCCCCCCCCTATCAGTACGCCAGCGTTCAGGGGCTCATGTCTTCTCACCCCTATAAAAACGGACACGCTTCCCCATTCTCGCACAATATGTCCACGATATGCGCGTATCGCTATAATAGAGACCTCCATTATGCGCAATGTTTATGAAATTTAATTCCTGTGAACTTTCCTTTTTCTTTGATTGGAATTGTATATGTGATTTAATTCAGGTTTTTACTATTGTTACGTTCTTTTGGATTAAAAATACAAACCATGTTTACTCCTTTACTGTTTTTTTTTTTTTTTTGGAGGGGGGGGGGGGCGTTTTTGGGGGGCAAAAATGCGTTTTGCCCCCCCCCACTTTTTTGACTGGGGGGGCAACTGCCCCCCCTGCCCCCCCACTTCCGGCGCCTATGGTAGTAGTAGTAGTAGTAGTAGTAGTAATAGTAGTAATAGTAGTAGTAGTAGTAGTAGTAATAGTAGTAGTAGTAGACAGTAGTAGTAGTAGTAGTAGTAATAGTAGTAGTAGTAGTATAGAAATAGTAGTAGTATTAGTAGTAGTAGTAGACAGTAGTAGTAGTAGTAGTAGACAGTAGTAGTAGTAGTAGTAGTAGTAGTAGTAGTAGAAGTAGTAGAAGTAGTAGTAGTAGTAGTAGTAGAAATTACAGAAAAGCAGTACTGTTGTTGTTGCTGTTGTTGTGATGTTGTTTTATTGTTGTTGTTTTTTGTTGTTGTTGATGTTGTTGATGTTGTGTAGCAGAACAGTACTGGTACTTTAGGTCTGATGAAGATTCTCGGTATGTGCAAATGCAAACAGGGTTTTGCAGTTAATTGACTGGAAAATAGGAAATATATCAATGGCATGAGTGAATAGTATAGGCCTAAATATTCTATATCAAATAGGCCTGCACATTTCTTTATTTCTCTCTCTCTCTCTCTCTCGCTTCTCATGCTTGCCAAGATCAATTTTGTTTCCTTAAATCTGTTTACGAGCTATTTCGTTTGCACCTCCCGAACGGGCACGGCGCAGATTTTCTCAATAAGCCCCAAATAGCTACCCCACTGCCGAACCTGCTGTGACTAAATATTTACCAGATCAACTCGAAACTGAAATGAAAATATGAAATTTGGCCGATAAGTGGAAAAATCTGCAAAGGATTTCAGCGTTGAATAACCCTGCTTTAGAATCATAACGCAAAGAAGGTGTTAACTATAGTGCAGCAATATTATTGATTCGTGTTTTTAGACAGATCTGGAATTCATATCAACAATAGTCATCATCATTTTCATGGGTGCGAGGGTTTCATTGGGAATAATATTTAACGAGGAGACTTTAACTATCATCATTTTAAAGCCATGATCATCTGAACCATTTTAGGTATCGATTTGCACCACATTCATAGCGATTTACCATGTTTACCGTTCTGTGATGGATCAACAACATAATATCAAATCTACTGCTTATCATGACCTGACTGAACTTTTGAAAAATGTGCATGAGACCCTTCTGATAACCACCAAACCATGGCTTTTCTTCTTCCTTCTCTTTTCTCTATTTCTGTTCTTCCTGTTTATTCTCCCCTCCTTCTCCATTTT